GATGATAAAAAAGAGAAAAAAATGCCTTCATGCATTTAGGGAAATTTATATCCCATGCTACCTCCTTGCAATGATAAAAAAAAAAATACACATACATATCCTAAGTCCAACGTTTTACTATTATCATTTTCCTGTTGTACAGATAGGTATATATATATTATATAAACACATTGAGGTCACTTTAGTCAAGAAAATTAGCTTGGTGATAAAACAATGTGACACTTCTCTGAAACATCTTAGCACTGCAGTTTTACCTCTTACACTGAGACTTTAATAAATATTTTTCCCTAAACAATCCTAGAATGGTTCAAGTTTTCTGCTGGAATGATTACATCATGTAAAGTCATCAGGTAAAATGAACATTCTAATATTTTCCTTATGGAACATTCTATTTCAGATAATAATCATAACACAAATCTAATTCATATTTGCTAAATGAAAGTGGTTTAGATTTGAGTAATTTTTGAACAGTTCTGAAAAATACAAATATAGGTTCCTCTTTTGTCATTGTCTTATTTTTTCTTTTTAAAAACACCTTGGCTAAATGTGGCCTAAAGTAATTCCAAGCAGACTAGGATATTCATATTATAAATTTCATGTATTTCTTTTAATGTCACATGTCAAGACCTACATCCCATAGCTCTAAAGAGATACAGGGATTCTTATAAGTGGGAAAGAAAGAAATGGCAAATCTGTGAAAATAGGAAGCAAAGGTATATTAATAATGGGCCTTAAAATACATGCTTTAAACATTTGCTTTGAGAAACCCAAAACTTGCAGGTTGCTTGAGCCACAGTGTATCCTAAAATAATTAAGTCTAAATCCACATGAGCTAGGAGTAGAAACTTTGGGAAGGAATTTCATCCTTTATTAGTTCTATCCATGAAGAGAAAAATTCACTTGTTAACATCTAAAGATCCACAGTACACAGACCTGAAGAATTGGGCCCTTCTTGTTTCCCCTTACTTAGTAATCTATTTCATCAATCACACCGAGGCCAAACTGAAGAAACAAACAAATATTGAGCTGCTCCCTATTCCACATACCGTAGCCAAAAACATCAGGACTTTATGCGAAAGGAAAATGATAACACAATTTGGAGAAAGAAATGTTTTTAAAAGACCTTATTTTCATCAATGTCATCAAAGATAGCTTAGAAAAATAAAGTTTTGGGAAGCAAATCACGTAAGAATGGTAACCCTAACTAACTAGACAGAGATTAATGTTCTCACTCAATATATATATAGTTCAAGAATTTATAAAGAAGTTTCCATTTAGAACATGATTTTTTTATGAACTCAGAAAAACTAGGTTCCCAATCCAGACTACCCTATGTGGTTTTTGTCCTTATCATCTTTTCTGACTCTTACAAACTAAACCTAATTAAGAACCTCCCTCATTAGTCTTCCAGAAAAATTAGCACAGCTTATGCTAATTACTCCTGCAAAATTTAATAAACTCGTTGAAATGGGAATTGTCTAATGAGGTTTTATTTATTGAACTAAGATAACTCCAAAGAAAAAGGTTAGGACACAAGGATATCCAATGTAGTAATCAAACTACAATTTATTCAATTTCTAAACATGAATTTTATTGCAAACCTTTTAAATTCAAATAGGAGTTAGTGTATGACTATGTTAAATCAATCTCCACCTTAACTCAATAACTGGAAGTCATTTTTTTGCATTTTACTTTAACAATAATTACCACACACAGCCCTCTACTTCAGTGATAATGGAATTTGCTGTTATTAGTTCCTGGTCATCAGCCATTAAACATAACACATGTGACTTTTCTCGAAGTCTGCACAGCCCAAATATCTGGATCACTGGGTCCAGCCTGTGTTTTATAATTCCTAATCAAGCTTATTGGCATCAAGCAGAAATGTAACCTAGCAGAAAACTCCAAACATAAACTTTCTACATTTTACAGCAGTTTTCCTGTGAATATTTTTGTAGTGACACAACAAATTGTTATAATTGTATAAAAAGAATTTGGGTCAAGATTTCTTAATCTGTTGCATGTCACTAGAAGGAAGTAGAAATTTGTTTTCTAAGTTACGGCATGCATCTGTTGATTTGTGAATTCCACTTTTTCATAGAGCATGTCAAGACGATGTCCCCCAATCACTGGAATCAAATAATAGCTAAAATTTGATACAGAAATAGCTTGTTAATACGACCACTGTCATATCACCAGAAATCCTTTTCTATCTATCCTATATCAAGTTTTCCTAAATAACCACTATGGAAAATCTTTTAACTGATAACATAGCAGTGGTCTTCCAGATTCCAAAGGATGTGCAACAGGAGCTAAGACATCTTGTCTTCAGGTCCAGGTGACTGGCTGTTAACACTATGCTGAACCCTAAGGTGAAGACAGCCTTTACTCTTTGTACACATCTTTTAAAAATAACCACTATCATCGCTTCTCGGCCTTTTGGCTAAGATCAAGTGTAGTAAAAATAACCACTATTACTACTGAATGTAGGCCCTATAGCCTACTTTTATTAAATATTCAGGGATTTGCATTCATAAATCTGAAAGCAAATCAAACCCTAAGCACACAACAGGTATTATGCAATCAGAAATCAGAAAGTATGAAATTCAAACTTGGGTGACAACTTTATTTTTTCCTTTACAGCAATTTCATGAAATTGACAAATCTTTCCTATTTTGCCCTTCCTTGTGTAAGTTCTTTTCTTGTTATTTTCTTTTCTTGATTAAAAACAGAAGTTTCACATATCAGCATGGACAGAACTAGAGTTTTAAAAACTTTCAGCAGACTGAAGGACAAATCAATTCTGAACACTCAGATGCAAATAAAAATCTAAATAGGGTTTTGCATATGAACTGGCACCACTGCATGAAAAGAGAGCTCATGTGAGACAGTGGCAGCAACCAGCAGGTAAACATATGCTGGGACTTGCAAACGCGCACCACGTTTCAGCCATTTCTAAAGCACTCCTCTCTAAAGAGACCACAATTAGCTACACACTGTTTTCTACTTGTGCACCAAAAGGGGGGATGAAAAGGATAAATGTCATGAGTAATATCTCAAAAGCCACCAACAGCATAAAGTGCATACTTATTTTGCCTAAATTGTTTGAACTACCATAGCCAAGAAAAGGTTTTAAGTACCCTACGGGGACAGATGCAAGGCGGCAACACTAGAAGCCACACTAATGCAATCCAGGTAACACAATCCTATTTCAAAAACACGGACTGGGCTAATTACAGCGCTGCTGAGTCAAGTTCCTTATGCCACTGCAACCCACAGGAACAGGTCAAAATCAAATGTTATTCAAACCACAGTCATATCAACCTTCTATATCAGAGTCACGGCTTAAAACCAAACGAAGAACTTAAAAGCTTAACCCATTCACAAGCAAAAAAGTGTTTTCATTGCAGGTGGCAAGGTAAGGTTCTTGTCATCATTTAAACCGAAAGGAACTGTGTGGCTGAGCAAAATATTTATAGTTTTAAAGTTCTGGGGACTATTTGAGCTGATCCTTTGAACAGAATATGCTCTTTTCAATAAAAGGGTAAGAAAAACTAGCTTAAAATAAGAAATGGTATTTTGAAGAGGTATATCTAAATGAAACAAATAGCGTAAAGGTTATATCTATTTTTGACCTTATTCATTTGAAGACTTATCTTCCGTGGCAGAAAAAGCAATTACATGAATGTCATATCTGCTCTCACAGATAAACATGCTATCCTAATTCTATAGGCATTATACAATGTCACTGTGCATTAAACTTTCCCACCTTCTAACTTTGAATCAATTTATTTTTACTCATATCAAGCAAAAGTACATTTTAGTGAATATTGGTGAGAGATATTTAATTAAAATATCCAAATGAAACACAACTTTTGCAGAACTACTTGGCAATCAATATTAAGTAAAAGCATAAAGAAGAACATAGGTCAAAAATCAATCATCTTTGATATTGAATATGATGAAGCAAAGTAACCAGCTTGTGACTTTACCTAAAAAAAAAATGATAAACCAAGACCAAAACAGTTGAAGAATTTGAAAGATGGGGTTTTCTTTTTCCCCCTTGGGTGTTTCTATCAAGAATCAATATTGCCAAAACCCCAAAAGAGATTTTTGTTTTGGTTGATGTCCTCAGTGAGGAGATCAGTCAGTCTTATTTGCAAGACTCTTTCTCCAGCTAGTAGAGCATGCTAGCTCTTTTTTTTTCTCTGATGACTGACAATATCTATAAAGCTTCCAGGCCATTTAAGTCTCAATGAGTAATGCCATGGAACAAATGGTTTATCATACATGTTTCTATACAATGAATTTCAATAATTAAAATATAAAGTGAATATTTGGAATACAACTTTGCATAATGTGTGCACACACTGACTCAAAATTGCTCTGAACAACTAAAACAGATTTATTGTTTTGTAGTGATTTACTTGGTCATGTCAGATTAGTAATATGGATCTGTTTAAAGACACAATAATTAAGACAAGCAGGATAAATTAATCAAGTTACAATACAGTCTGAGCTGCAATCAAACCCAGGAAATAACAGCAGAAAATCTTGGTTCACAGATCTCTTTAAACTGCTTTTATGCATAAATAAAACCTTAAAATGTAGATGGATTACATCCAACAGAACTACTGTAGCTAAAAGTGATAATGATTCAAACATTTTTCAAATAAAAGTTAAATATTTATAAGCACCCAACCACATTTCATAAATCACAAACTATTATTATTTTATTTCTGAAGCTTCCTGGCACAGCGTGAGGATTGAGCCACAGAAAGTCAGAAGTGAAAAAAATATTCCTTTAGGAGCATGAATCAGATACAAAACCGGAGTAATCCAAGAAAAAGGCTTCCAAAGAACATTCCATATGGCTTTGCCAAGGAATCACAATCCGTTGGCACAGCATAAATCATGACCAACAGGCAAATTTTGGCCACAAGGCAGGTGTTTCATTATAAGGAAGAATAAGAATCCAGTAAAAGAAGAGTGGTCCCTACCTGTCAATTATCACTGGATCTGAAGGAGTCTCATTTCGGTTGCCACAGCTTTTCTTGTCACAACAGCGGCTATGGAGCAAAAGCGAAAGGATTTAGTACAACCATTACAATGTAAAATCATCATTTAAGTAGACAGAAGGTTCAAATTGCTGGGTTGCAAATGCTAGAATTACCACAAAGCCATACCTGGCAATCAATGGATCCCTGGAACAGAACATTCTATTTGGGTCACCTACGGGTTAATGGCCAGGCTTAACCTCTCCCTGCTCAGAATGGGAGGCAAAGAGAAGGGTTCTCCCAGGGCCAGGAATGATAGCCCTACGATGGGGTCTCTCCATCACTGCCTGCAGAGTTGGCAGAGTTCAATGTGAAGTGCATTATTATTACGTGTACCCAATAAGAACATTCAGGTTTGTGGGTGGCTCAAACTTTCTTCCCACACGATCACGCTAATTTTGTGGAACACATCAACAAGGGGGTTTGACTGATTTCTCCCCTCTAGTTATTTTGTATTAAATGGATTCCTTTTGCTTTTCCTTTCTCTTTTATGGGTGGCATTGCCTTCAACCACAAACCTCTCCAAAATCCTACAGTGGTAAATGTTTGCTTTTGCACTGTCTTCATGTGAATAAAGATTTCACAATAATTAAGACAAGGAAGAGATAACCAAAAAAGTGGAGGTTGACATTCACAGTCCTCTGGCTTTTTAGATCACCATTTGGAGCTACTCAAGTTTTCTGAGTGCATTATGGACAAAGGCTCCAGTGGTTATTAGTACAGCCATGATCTTGTTTATTAAGTCACAGAAAGAACAGCTACAAGCAAAGTAAGCACCTGCTACCAAAATCCCACCCAGGTGGGACCTTAGGGTTGCCCATTCTTTTTTTTTTTTTTTAGCTGAGGTGCTTTTAAAGGGTGAAAAATTTATGCTTTTGAAAAGTACCCACAATAAACAGAAAAATATCCATCTGAGAGTTGTTTGTAAATAATAAATGTGTCCCTTGGCTGGTCTACACCCAGGGATACACTAGGAAAGCATATATTTAATCAGTCAAGAAGGTGAGGAGGTTATCCAAGGGTTAGACTTCACCATGAACACCAGCGAAAAGGGCACCTTTCTCCAACCTCTTACACACAGATGTGCACACACACACACATGCTTACAACTTGGTGAATCACACAGCCTAAATTTAGAGAGCTGCTCGAGAGAACCAAATATCGAGTTGCATTTTCAGGACCCAGAAATATATTCCTGCATAGGGAGTCTTTCACCAAAACTGGAAAGTCTTCTCTCTCGCCATAATTATATCTCTGTGAGGAGAATCAGCTTCCAGACTTGATGTTAATTCTTCAAAAAGTAATGTTAAAAAGTGTATTTCCATTGTCAGCACCCCGGCTAGAAAATCACCCCATCTACCTGATAGCCCTTCCTAATTCACAAGAATCTATTGCCTCCAGGCCCCGGGTCTGCTATACCAGAACTTTTTGGAAAGCCCAAAGTACCTAAATCTCTAAGAAACAAATAAATAAATAAGGGAGAAGGGGAGTATAAGTTGTTGGAATGCATGTAAAATATAGTTAAAAAGTAAACATAATCCCCAACACCTGTATTTCAGGCTTGCCTGAATAGTGGAGTGGTTAAGAACATTGGCTCTGGGACCAGACAGAGCTACCAGTACCACCTTGAGCAATGTACTTCACCTCATAATCTTTGCTTTCTTATTTGTAAATTGGGGTAATTATAAAACCCACATCTAAGGGCTCAGATTCCATACAGTAAGGGCACCAAGCCTGGGCTCTATGGCAAGGCCTACTGAGAGTTCAATGAAAAGCAGCATCACTACTGCCCCCTGTGTTTATCTCCTGCAACCACCTCCTTCTCTAATCTGAGTTCTGCAGATGAAGCAGGTCTCCAAAAGCAACCCATCAATAGATCCCAAGTCTCCATTATCCAGGGAGGAAAACTGGTGAATAGGAGGACCTATTTCTCCTTTCTTTTCATTCACAAAAACAGCAAAGGAACAACACAAGCTCCTGGATGCTGCACCCTCACCACAGTACTGCCTGGATGAAGTACCCAGCAGGGACTATTCTAACTTGCTTTGATGATGCTGTGGACAAGAATCTACCCCTCAAGCCTAACTGAGTCTCTCCCTCCTCATTGCCACTGGCCTTATCCAAGTAACTTTCATTTCTCTACTGGATCCTGCAATAGCCTCCCAAATGGTCTCACAACTTCCACTCTGACTCCTCCAACAGATCCTTCCAAGTGTCCATGGGACTGTGTCACTTCACAGTCACAGATCTTTGAATGGCTCCCCCACTGCACTTAGAAGAAACCTGTGACAGGATATGATAGCACACCACCTTCCAACCTCCTGCCCCTTCCCTCCAGCTTGCCAAGTTCTGGGCTAACTCCAACCCCTTTGATGCATTATGCTCAATCAAGCCTCAGGTCCAGGCCCAACCAGGCTGGCCAGCCAGTCCTCCAATACCTAGTTCACTAACCTCTCTCACCCCTCATTCTCAGCCTGTTCTCCCTTCCTCACAGAGGTTTTCCCTGACACCCTGCCCTTGTCTAAATTAGGCTCCTCCTGGCATGTTTTCTTTTAAGGCATTTAACACAATGCAAGTTAT